TGAGATAGAGCAAATGTGGGGTAATGTTTTTGTTCAGATAGAGATGGAACAAGAGATAAAATGCTATCAAATTGTAGCGCCTCAGTGAAAATAATCCAGTTCTTTAAACCAGTCTTGCAACTTCTCTAAGTTTGAAATTATTTCAAAATAAATGGTTTTAAAAGAATACCTGCATATTTATGTGGCCATATATGAAGTACTTTCAGATATTAGTATCATATGTGATATTTTCTGTGTGAGACATTTTCATGTTTCCAAACTCTAATATAATTTATAGGATTGAAAAGAAGCAGGAGTTGAGTTATGCTGTTCTTTTCAGCCCTAAGATGCCATAAATGTCAGGTGAGTTCCAGGGAAATGTAACAAAGTAAGAAAGTAATAAAAAGAAAGAGTTCTCTGATTTCAAATTCCAGTTTTAAAATAAACCCTGAAATAATCTGTGAGCATTTCTAAAAAATGGTTATCCTATATATGTATAATATCGGTTAATAAAAACAGAATCTATTTTGTCCAGTATCAAAGATGGGACCCTCTGTGCAGTAATTAGTTAAGAAAAAAGAAGTTTTTGCTTAAAAAACAGCAGCATTCCATTATAACCCAAAGCAGCACAGTCTTTACAATCCCTATTTCAATTTTATCTCAATTTGTTAATTTTTTCTGTACAAAGAAACTGTTCTAAATGCATATATATCCAGACATCTATGGACAGACATACACACACACACGTAACAGTAGTTTTACTCAGTACTTTTACTTTGCAAAAATCTTTGTGATTATTTGCTCACATCTTAATCTGGAAAATTTGCGAAGAGATCAGATGTTTTCCCCATTCTTTTTTGAGAAAATTGAGGATGGGATGGTTTAAGTGACTCACAGTTTACCCGGGGGCAAGTTACTGAACAACCAAGACTAGACTTCAGAATCGTTTCATTATACTACACTGAAAGGTCTAGGCAAGATTTGTAAATTTGTGGGTATTCTTCCTTTAAATACACATATAACAGGGATAGTTATCAAACTGAACTTTGTCTCTATGCCTTCAGGAGAAGAATCTAGCCCTACCTAGCTAAATGCTGACTGCAAGGTGTCTCTTTACAGTTCAAAGGTTTTCAAATGAATACTGAATGTTTTACAATTCTGTGTCTTTTTTCCTTGCCAGTCTTAACAGAGCTTTAGAAGACTGACTTAAGGTAAGGATTTTTTCTTTACCTACATAGTAAAAATGTTCACATTCAAATGTAATTAGAAAATGCACAAGTTTATAAACCTCTCCAAAAGCTTTTGCCAATGTGATAGACAATTTTGATTAAAACATGACAGTTAGTCACTACTAGTTATAACAGTTGTTACAGTATTATGAAATTCCACTATTTCTTTCCTTTAAAACATTTGTTTAGTTGTTACCATGCACTTACCTTCAGTACTATGGTAGCCTTCTCTTACTTAGTCTCCCAACATGTCCTCATATGCTAAAACATATTAATTAAAATTTTATTATTAAATATTTATATAGCACTTACTATGTGCCAGGGCTTATTCTAAACAGTTCATGGGCAATTAACTTTTTTCATCCTCGTAAGACTGAGGTCCTTACTATAGTTATTCTCCACTTGACAGAGGAGGTACAGAGAGGTTAAGTAGTATGTCCAAGGATACACAGCTGGTAAATGACAGGACCAGGACTCAATCCCAGGAAGTTCAACTCCCAAATTTGTGGTTACATCAGTGTACCACCCTGCAATGAGCCTCAGCCTTACAGGTGCTGGAGAATTATTTGTTTATTAAATGAATAGATTATTCACTTGTCTTTTAGCCTGATTTGAAAACACTAAGCAGATTACTCATTTGCTCTGTGCCTTAACTTCCCACTTTGAAAAAGAATTGATATTTGCCATCCATTTATCCCCCAAACAGTAAGAACGGAATTTGCTTCACCTAGCTGCTGCATATGTGTATGTTTTTTGCCTTAAAGATTCAGCCATCAGTATATCTAGAGAAGAACAAAACAACAAGACCTTAAACTTGTGTCATGACCACAATTCAGTATAAATAACTAGGTCTCCTTTAGTCCAAATGAGTGTGACCTACAGGGGCAGAGCTTTGGAGACCCCAGCTTCCTCATATTTGAACTTTATCCCCATATAACTTTGAATTGTGTTCACTTTTCAGCTGAATTAAAATTTGTGTGTATAATAACCAAAATAAATGCAATGTCTTCTAGGGCTTAGATTATGTGATTTAATAAAAATACCTAATTATAGATCTTTCAAATGAAAATGCTATCTTGTTAAAACCCTGCATCTCTGATATTAAAAATATTATCCTGACCTAGTTAGGGTCAACACTGAAAGTTTCTGTGCCAAGAGTCCTTAATCCATCACTACCTATCTGCTGTCTTTATTTAGTCTCTCCAAATTCCATCAGGTCCTTCAGGCTATATACATGGTACTGAAAGAAATTCAAAACAAGACCCACTACTCTCAACAGCATGGGTAAACAGGTGTCCAAACACCCCTGTCATGTGGCATTGAGCAAGTTACCTATCCTTTTTCAGTCTCAGTCTCCTCTTCTGAAAAATGGGGATAATAACAAAGGCTGTCAATAACCTCCAGGGCTGTCCTGGGTATCAGATGAGCTAATGAACATGAACTGCTTTGTAAACTGTACTCCACAATTATGAAGAAATTAATAACTAAAGGTTTTGGTTTTCAAAAATCCCCCAAAGACTGAAATGTGCTTATGCATTGTATCTACATGCTAATTTTTCCATGTGCATTCTTGGCCTGGACGTCCTTGTTAAGTAGGTTCAGAAAAGCAAAAGAACTTGAGTTAGTCCTCAGAGGAGGTGGAGTTTCAGGTGTGTAATGACTGAAGACTGAACTGGTGAGAGTATGAGAGAGCACACAGTACAGGCTGAAATCAGATGGCCACACGGTCTACACAGATGTGTCTCAAATAAAAAGTCTTTGCTGAGGTAGTAGAGATAACTCTCAGTGTGTTGCCTAGAAGGGAGATGATCCTATGACTGCAAGGACAACTGTTACAGTATCACTGAGTTTATTAAATACATGTGTTCTGGGGATAGAAAGATGAAATAAACCAAAGACCCTGTGTTCCCTTTCAAGAGTACTGACAAAGTCTTTGGCAAGGTCCAAGAAATGGGCAGAGAAGACAGTTCAGGTAACAGAGATTAACTGCGACAGCAAAGGATTACAGTAAGGATTCCTAATATTTTTCTCTGCTATTTAGAAACTTTGGAAGCCAACTCTGGTACCATTTCAAAATCTGATACGCTTGTGGCTAAGGTTACACGGGAGAGTGGATACTGAGTGTTTGTCAAGAGTGGCTTGTCTTCTGACCTGTTAACTTTGATCACTTCCATGATCACAGAATGCACACCTTGCCCTAACCAACCACCTGGCAAAATCCAGCCCTGCTGACTAGGGAAATTTGGCAAACCAGAGGTTTCAGGGTGGAAAGGCAACTTATTACCTCTACTAGAAAAAAATACCTCAAAGTGCATGTTCCACTGATGTTAGCATCACCTTTACATGCCAGGAACAAATTATGCTATAGAACAGGCCTAGAACACCCAGCTGGAAGTGAATAAATCAAAGAAGACTAAGGTTACTGCATAGTACATTCCACTGAGGCAGGGCCGTGTCTGCTTGCCTTTGGGTGGGAGTGGACATGCTGTTGATAAGACTGATCAATTGAAGATACAACTCTACAGAGAAAGGCCTAGCTTCTTCTAGGGTGTGAGGAAGGTGCGATTAAGTCAGCAGAAGGGGGTGCGTAGAAGCATGCCCCTATTGAAACTCCCTTTAAAGTTGCCAGACAGGTATGAAGGGGCTGAGCAAAACAACGTGTGAAGGTAAAGAGTCCTGGGAAGGAGCTGGGCTGCCTCTACTCTGCCCCAACGCTGCCTCCTCTGGGACTCTGAGGTTCCCCAGGCCAGGAGTGTAGTGAAGCCAAGCGCAGGAGTCCACACTTCAACCCGGGACCAGAGCGGGGGCTGGGCGGGGGTTGGGGGTTGGGGAGGATCTAAGAAACACCCCGCAGACGAGTTTCTCAGCAGGGAAGTGGACCGGGAACAGCGTATTTCCTGCTACGCCTGTGCAAACCCCAGGCGGGGCCAAGCGGGAACAGGGTTACAGTCGAGGAGTCGCCAGCTGCCAGGGAGGGGTTGGGGGGCGGCCTGGGCGGGATGCGGGCTGCAGGAGTGGGAGCTGGCGTGCCAGCGGAACGCACGCGCCCATCCTCGTGCCAAACAGCATTCCCAAAGCCCTTCTCGCCTCGCCCCTTTCCCACCCCGCAAGGGAGAGGCCAACGCAGCCTCGGGGCAGGGTCGAGTACCAGGCGACGGGTTCCTGGGGGTTCCCGGGCCGCGCTTGGGGCGTCCTGCGGGGGCTGGCCGCCGAGTGGAGCGGGGACCGCTAACCTCCCCGGCCACTCCTTCCGCCCCATCTCTCCCATCCCGCCCGCGACCTTAGACCTCGCGCCCCGGACCCACGGGGGACTAGCCCAGGGACAGGGAGGAGACGCGAAAGGTATCAAAGGTTCGGCGCCGCTGCCCAGTCGGCGCCCGGGCGCGCGGGGTCTCGGCGGCGTCCGGCTGCGCGACCCTACCTGGGAGGTGCGAGCCGCGGCTGCGTTCGCGGAGGGGCTCCCGGAGGGCCCCGGGGCGCCCGATTTGTGAACACGACGGCCGGGTTGTTCGTTTCCCTGGATACCAGTCTGTTCCTCGGCGGGCCGCCCCCGCCTTTTCCCTGGGTTTGAGGCGCCCACTCCCCTCCCCGCCCCCACGGATTAGCGCTCCAGAGCCAGCCCGGATCTGCGTGGGTGCCCACGGCCTTCCCTAGAGACTAGAGAGTCCTTCGTCCGGCTCCCGCTTCCCGAGCATCGAAAGCACAAAAGCCTGCAGGAAATCACCCAGCCTTTGCCTGGTCACTCAGGGGCCCAGAGAAAAGCGCGGCTCTGAACCACAGCTCGTCACCTACCCGGGTGAATTCCCTCTGGCCAAAGGCCCCGGTGCAATCCGTACAGCTAGTTTGCTGCGCTAGTCGCTTCCTCACCAAGCCTCGAGTCTGGCTTGGGAACCGTGAGGGCAACGAGTAGCCAGGAGCCCAGAGATCCTGGAGTGTACAATGCCAACGCACCAGGTCGGCTACACCAGCGGGTGTACATGGCTCTTACTCGCATAACTGTTTGTCCCCCCTACTCCCCCGCGTAAATCTCTCGTGTTGAGAAAAGCAAGGCTTGCAGGAAGCCACTCCGGATGTTTGCTGCTTTTCATGTGGCATTTGTGGCTGGCTCTGATAACGCCCCGAGCTCGACTTCTAACACCGCGTTTAGTAAGGGGACCGAAACAGAGGAGTCCACACATACTGGCAACTGGTCTGCGGCACCGCCGGCCCCCAACACCCTCCCCCAAAATATGTAACAAGCGAATGATCAGAAGAAATTAGATCTAGGTAACGGATGTAAAAGGAACTAACTAGTCTGGGAATGGCACCAAAGCTGCCAGGAAAGGTATTGTAAGAAGTAGGGGGCGGGGCGCTAAAATCTGAAGCTCCAACTACATCCTAGGATGCTGTGCTCTCACCTGATTTCTCAGAAATCTTCCCCCCAAAATCAGTAGTCTCTATCAGCAAGTGCAAATAATAATGGGGAAGCCCCAGATTTTCTTCTCCATCAGTTTCTCCCCTTTCTTGACCCCTCTCCCTGCAATGGGGTGGGCAAGGGAGAACAAGAGAATGAAAGTGTACAGAGGGTAAATCCATGCCCGTACATTTTTTGGACTAATACCTGGATTGTATTTCCTGTACCCTATTTTATTTTTTAAAGGAATTCGTCAAATTAAACCAGACAGACGAAATGGGTTCTGAAACAGGCATTGTTTTATTTTTCAACCTCTATTCTAAGAAAACTACTTCATTAAAACTTTTGAGCTAGTAGAAAATTCTGCTCTGAGATTTTTGGGAAGATATTTTTTACTATTCAGAAAAGTTACAAAAGATCGCTAAGAAAACATAAAGAAGCAAGGTGCTACAGGATAAATTTGTTCTCTGTACTCTTATAATTTCCTTGTATAACCATCTGCAATGCAATTACACTTAATTTTCAAGCCCATATTTATTCAGAAAACATAAAGCTTTAAAGGAAAAGTACATAATCAATTTAATTTGTTTTAACATTAAGTGCTTCACAATCACCAGTTAAAAACTAACACCTCTCTATGATATCCTTAAACAGGTTAATTTTTTTTTCTTGTCTGAATCTAAGAGACCCAGGAACTAGAACCACTTTCTTCATTTGTCTCATGTATAAAAACTGGCTTCTAAAGGTGAGGGAGGGCAGCCAACATTTCACAGAGCCTCACAGATAGGCTTAAAACAGGTGTGTGGTTCTTTGGAGAAATGGCAGTGTCAGAGCAACTGAATGGCTAGGTATTTACAAAGACTGTTTTTATGGATACCACTGAGAGACAGACTTGATAGATGACTTGGTGACTGAAATATCACACAAAAAACCGCAGCATTTACCTTCCAGGGTCAGACATAAGCTCTAGCTTTTCATCATTTCGTCACAGTAAACAAAGAAAATCAGTTCTGGAGACTGATGTATTGATTTCTTGACAAAGTTATCTATTTATACAGAAATATCTTGTTAGTTGCTTTAGAAAACAAAACAAATAAACAAATAATTGAACACAACAGCATGGCTTTGTAATTAAGAGCTCCAAGTCTGAAGGCATACTACTGGAGGTGAATTTCACTCCACAATGCTGTGATTTCGGTAAATTCCTTAACTTCTCTGTGCCTGTTTCCTCTCCTGTAAGATTTAATAGTGTCTGTCTACTGCATAGGGTTTTAAGGATAAGCTAGTTTGCTAGCATTTGGAAGGCTCTAAACAGTGTCAGGCATGCTGTGCCAAATATAAGTGCAATGAAAGGGCTTGTTTAAAAATCTCACTATAAAGGTTTCTCAGATTTAAACACTGATAGCTTGTCATTCAGATGTTCATTCCATTCTAGGGAAATGTGTGAAGAGTCCCCTAATTACCTGCGCGAGGGTAACCACCTTTAAGTGACCCTAATAGCTACAGTCATTTTGCTGCTCAGCAGAGTTGCTTTCTTTCCTCATAGATGGGTATTTAGATAAACATTGCTGCTGTGTTTAATGGATTTTAAAAATCAAACTAAATCTCGCCTCTTTCGGAACACTATGAGAAAATTTTGTTAATGTTTATTATATATTTTACGTACAAATTTTTAAGGGTTGGTTTATCTTACGTATAAAAGTTTTAAATTAATTCAGGATGATGGGACACCGGCTACATACAGAACATCATTCCGCATTGAATTTTGTTTTAGAAATTAGATTTCTTTCCTCGGACAGAGCATTTTATTATTTTCTATTGTACTAAATAAAACACATGGAAGAAAATACCGGTGAGGTTCCTTGGAAGAAAGCGAAGTCACGCACCACCCTTAGCCTCTGTAATAAAGAATGGGTGCTTAGTTTGCTCATTCAAACTACAGTGGCCAAGTAATTCTATCCAGCGGTACTGCCAGTACCCCCAGAAGCCTTTTCAGAACTCCCCCTTTCCGGTTCGGAGTGGACACGGCGCCAAATCCCGGCTCCAGCCAGTTTTCCCGGGGCAGGTGTAGCCCTGGGCGCAGGGCCAGGGGAGGGGAAAAGGCGGGCGTGGGGTCAAGCTGGAACTTAGGACTCTGCGGCGGGCTGGGCGTGAGCTTAACGATGTCCGCTCGGCCCGCCCCGCCCCCGCCGCTCCATTGGCCGCAAGTGTGCAGAAAAGGCCCTGCGGTCGGGGGGCGCCTGCAGTGTCACTGGGCCGGCTGGGCGCTGGCGCGGTTTGTGGCCAGCAGGTTCGGGCCAGGGGACGCAGGCAGCCCGCCGAACTCTTCCCGCCCTCTCTCCCACCCTCTCCCCTGGCTCCCACCCTCTCCCCCCGCTCCGGGGGAGGCGGTGTGCTCCGCGCAGGCTGTGGGGCGCGGGGTCGGGCTGGAGCGCCATGAGCAGCCCGGATGCGGGGTACGCCAGTGACGACCAGAGCCAGCCCCGGAGCGCGCTGCCTGCGACGATGGCCGGGCTGGGCCCCTGCCCCTGGGTCGAGGCGCTGAGCCCCCTCGGGGACATGAAGGTGAAGGGCGAGGCGGCGGCGAGCAGCGGGGCGCCGGCCGGGGCCGCGGGCCGAGCCAAGGGCGAGTCTCGCATCCGGCGGCCGATGAACGCCTTCATGGTGTGGGCTAAGGACGAGCGCAAACGCCTGGCGCAACAGAACCCGGACCTGCACAACGCCGAGCTGAGCAAGATGCTGGGTGAGTGCGAGCTCGGTGCCCAGGGCTGGGAGCGTCGCGAAGCCGCCTCTTTGAGCCAAAGGGTGCGTGGGGGCCTTGCATTCGAGGCCAGCGGTGTACTGCGGCCACGTCCTTCCCTGGGGTCCGCGGCTCGCCTCCCGCTTCCCGCTCTCCCGGATCTCCTAACAGGCCTTGGTCCTTGGTCCTTAGGTCCGGACCGCCCGGGTGACGGGCGCACGGGTGCAGCGGCTCTGGGGAGGTGCCTTCCCTGAGCGGCGGCGCGGAGCCGGGTTGGTCGAGTCGGGTTACCGGGTGTGGGAAGTTTTCAATTCCTGGAACGACTGGGAGTGGGGGTGCGAGGAAGCCGCTTCCAGAAAGCTCAAAAGTAGGGAGGGATGCCCGTGGCGGGCTCTGGGCCTCATCCTAACCTAAGTGATGGGACTCCTTCGGGCCTCCCAAGTCCCAGGCTTTCACTTGACCCTTTTCCCGCTCCAGTTGCACAATCCAAGGTAGGAGGGGAGAGGTGGGATCTGGTGGGGGCCTGAGAGCAGGAGCTCAGATAGTAAGGTCCGCGCCCTCTCCACCTTTCCGCGCCCGTACAGGCAAGTCGTGGAAAGCACTGACGCTGGCGGAGAAGCGGCCCTTCGTGGAGGAGGCCGAGCGGCTGCGCGTGCAGCACATGCAGGACCACCCAAACTACAAGTACCGGCCGCGGCGTCGCAAGCAGGTGAAGCGACTGAAACGGGTGGAGGGCGGCTTCCTGCACGGCCTCGCCGAGACGCAGGCGGCCGCGCTGGGCCCCGAGGGCGGCCGCGTAGCCATGGACGGCCTGGGCCTGCCCTACCCCGAGCAGGGCTTCCCCGCGGGTCCTCCGCTGCTGCCTCCGCACATGGGCGGCCACTACCGCGACTGCCAGGGACTGGGCGCGCCCCCGCTGGACGGCTACCCGCTGCCCACGCCCGACACTTCCCCTTTGGACGGCATGGAGCCCGATCCCACGTTCTTCGCTGCGCCGCTTCCCGGGGACTGTCCCGCCGCCGGCCCCTACAGCTACGCCCAGGCTTCGGACTATGCGGGGCCCCCAGAGCCGCCCGTCGGCCCCCTGCACCCCCGGCTCGGCCCGGAGCCGGGTACCGCGATGCCGGGCCTCCTGGCGCCCCCCAGCGCCCTGCACATGTACTACGGCGCTGTGGGCTCGCCGGCGGTCGGCGGACGCAGCTTCCAGATGCAGCCGCCGCAGCACCCGCCGGGTCCGGGGCAGCCGTCGCCTCCTCCCGAGGCGCTGCCCTGCCGGGATGCGGCGGACCCGAACCATCCCGCCGAGCTCCTCGGGGAGGTGGACCGCACGGAATTTGAACAGTATCTGCACTTTGTGTGCAAGCCCGAGATGAGCCTCCCCTACCAGGGACACGACTCTAGTGTGAATCTCCCAGACAGCCACGGGGGCATTTCCTCGGTGGTTTCCGATGCCAGCTCTGCGGTGTATTACTGCAGTTATCCTGATGTTTGACAGGCCTCGACCCCCATCCAGCCTGCAGGCCAGAAGCGCAGTGTTACACACTTCCTGGAGGAGCTAAGGAAATCCTCAGCCTCATGTTGTTTTTGTTTTGTTTATAAGTTGCCTTGGCATATAATTTATGGTAATTTATTTTGTCTGCCTCTTGAACACTTGGGGGGAGAAAAATGTGAGGTTGTGTTTTAAAATTTGCTCAGATACTTGTTTCCAACAGAAGAATTGTCAAAAGGCCATTTTCAGGTTCACGTTTACCAGTTTTGACTGTGTCCCAGAACAACTTGTTCCATTTCCTGAAAATTTATTGATCAAAGAAATTTTGTCCCAAGTGTTTTCTCAATCTTTAAAAAAATAAAATCTGGAATCCTACTTTTCATTTTTGCTAGTGCCTCTGTCACAAAAGCCACTTTTTTGAGATCGATGATAAGTTAATAGGATTAGAAATATTTCAGGGGTGATACTTTATATATGGTTACTGTAGAGTTTTCATTCTCTTATAATAGACCTAAATGAGGAGATTGAACATTAGGATAGCCTAAGTTTTTCCTTTTGCTGGAAAAAAAAGCCTACATTACACAGTTGAAGTGATCTTAGTCTCTAAAAAGTAATGGTTAATTTTTGCACTAATATTTTCAGTTTTAGCGTATCTCTTTGACCAGAGGAGAACATCCAAGTTATTCTGGTTTTCTAATTGAATCTTGAGACCTGCCTAAAGATCTGGATTTTCTTTTTCTTACCTGTACTTCAGTCTTTACAACTGCTGTCAATATTGGACTTAACAATCCTCACATGTTTACATGTTGGGAAATAGCTGAGTTAAAAATAATTTGAAGGAGTCACAGGAACTAATCAGAGTAAAATGTTCATTGTGACTTTAATGCAATTTAGCATCTATAATTTCAATAGGGTATTTTGTTAATAAACTGCGTACATGGCCCTTTGCATTTCCTGACACCTGAAGTGAAGTTATTAAGCTTCCGCAGGATCCAGGGATAGTTTGTATGTAGTGTG